TAAAGCTTTCGTGATTGCAGGGATTCATATTCTTGGTTCTTTCGGTAAAGTCACGTAGAAGGGAAACAATAAAATAATAAAATAATTTTTTTTATTTTTTTTTCTTATTTTATTGTTTTCCATCTACGTGACTTTAGCATATATATTGTTCATACTCCACCTAATGTTATTCTCACATGACTTGTAAAGTTGTGGATTCATACAATTAATCTTCATAAACATGCGTGAATGTTAATTTTATTTTGCAAAGTCATGGGGTATGTTACCAGCTGGTAATCCAGCAGACAATCCGAAGTACAACTGCAACATTTACTTACGCATATAACAATCAGGCTGGCGCATGACATTTTGCCATTGAATTAACTTATTTTGGATCTCTTAAGTTTTCAACATGGCCACTGAACCTTAAAAAAATAATAAGCCACACATTGTTCTCATTAATATGTATGATACCACACAAGGAATGATGAATATTAATGACCATGCGACATCACTGACTCATGCTCCGCCCCCTTAGGCATGGGTGTTCATGAATATTAATGAGGTCAAGGGCGGAGTTTATCCCCCCCCCCCCAAATCCCCCTCCCTACCCCCCACGTCTGTTTCTACATACAAGGGAATAGGGGTGCAAGTTGAATGAGCATGCAACATTCATTCTCTATGCTACGCTCTGTGATATCCCTTTGTAGCACTTCTGCACGTGAATAGGTGGGCAAAAAAATGTTTAAAAAAAAAACTTAAAATGTTATACGTTAAAAAAAAATTCACAGCTGAGACGTGCCCACTTTTTTTTGTCAACATTAGCATGCAAGGCCTATCTTCGGTCCCTGAATCTATTGAGGTGCACAGAAATAAAGGGCTGCTGTAACCACACTTTGGAAGTTATGGGTTTCCTCCTCATTAATGTTTCCCAATGGTTATTGGTTAGATCACAGATAGAGTCCACAGAGTTTCCCTCCCCCACCCCCATGCCACCAGATAAAGGGGAGTTATACTGTGCGACAATAATATTAAATCTGGCTAACTTCTAGCTCGTGACACAGTAATGAGCTTAATTTTTGCATGAAACTGTGTTTAAACTAAAACTAAACTTTTTATTTTACAAGTGAAGGCCCAACTGAGCTATATAGCTCTTTTGCCAGAAGTGACGTGGCCCCAAATGATAGCTCAACGAATTGGCTTATCGCGTGGAAATCCATAGCAGCAAAATACTCTAAACGCATGTCGATTATACATATGGAGGGGAAAAACTGGAGGACTCGGGAGAAAAATCAACACAATCACAGAGAAAACATGCAAACTCCAAATATACAGCAGTGGCTGTGCCCCTACAGAGAAATATACATACGGTATACACACCTTTGATGGAATATAGTGGTTATCTTTCCGTGGGGGAAACGAAAATCTTGGAATGCACCAGCCAATCTTGCCATACTATGCCTCGAACCAGTATAAAATAAAATTTAATATATGAGCCCGAACTGAAATGGTTGTAAAAAAAATCAAATGGTTGTATATATTTATATAAATGTGTTTTTATTTATATATGTGTGTGTGTATTTGTGCTAATATATATGAACAGTTCTTGCCATTGCAAAAAAGGGCCTTGCATCAGCATACCTCGACTTGTTTTATAGTATGGTTGTGTTTAAGAAATAAAATAATAAATGGCCTGTGAGTTTTGATGTTCAGGCTAAAGGGGGCTGGGTAAAGCTTTGGTTCATCTGCTGGCGCTAAGATGAAGCTCATCCTAAAGCCACATGAAATGATTCTCATTACGGATTAACATTTTGGTGAGCCCAATCGTGGTTGTATGATATGCTGTCAGTAGAACGCCTGTGTTTACCTGCTGATGATATTCATGTCCGCCATTGTACGTTTCTGCTTAGTAAGACATAAAATATCATGCATTGCTTCGGGAATAAGTTTATTATAAAAGCTCTAGTTACACGCTGGGGGAGTGGTTGCGTAGTACTGTATATAGTGTACTTGGCCACGCACCCAGATACCTGAGTACGATTCTCAGTCACGACCAACAGTGGCGCGTCGTATCTACACCTGCTCCGGTCTCACCAAATTGCCCTTCTCGTCATTTCTCCTCCTTATTGTGTGTGGCAATTCAAAAGCAATGCTTGATCACGTTTCTACGGTGTGGTGAGGTCGCCAGTCGATGACTTGCAGCACGTGACCGGCATGATGAATCGTGGTGAAACCTCCGCAGCGGACACGGTGTGTTGAGGCCTTCATCCAGCAGTGTCATTGACAACGGGATTGTCGCGTATTATATTATTGCTGCGTCTGTTGAACTTTTTGGCACCGCATAGGTGTGTAGTTTGCTGCTACGCTTACCTTTAAATGTTCAGCAAACGACCAAAGAAACCACTACAAGGATAACTGCGAACACACATCACAGGCGCGCCACTTAATTACCAAGATATTCACCCAAATTTCAAATAGCACTGCAGTGTCTGCTTCAAGCGACATTTAAAAGCCAAAGGGACTAAACAAAAACAATAACGATGTTGTTAAATCAGTTTTAATACTTTAGGATGGATAGCCGCTATATCAATGTTTATTTTGTGGCGAAGGTGATTGGTGAGGTTGTGCGTTTTTGCGGGTCGCGGGGGGGGGTAGTTGGTGATTACTTGGCGGCAGAAAGGCAGGTCGCACATTTTCATAGCATGCTGCTTATTGAGCAGCAGCAGCAGCAGCAGGTGAGGGATATCGTACCAAGCAGAGCACTCACTCGGATTAAGCTTCACATTGAGTTACAGAACTACCCCCACCAACACCTGATCAATTGATTCTGTTTACTCTGGGTCTCAAGAGTGTGCCTTCCAACCAGACCAGCTGCAATTTCCACAATTCATCTCTTTCAGGCTGCTATCAGACCTGAGCGTGACTAAAGTGAGTGCAAGCAACAATTTTCTGACACTGTTTTCTGCGAGCTCATGAGTGACTGCACATGATCATCACATTTTTTTTTTGCCACAAACGACAATATTTTTTTTCCAGACCGACATTAATGATATGAATTTGGTTATGCTATAATAGTGCGAGCAAATAGTAATAAAAATACAATCAATTCTGTGCAATATGAGTAGTGTTTTTTTTTCTTCCCCCACACCCCCAATTATTATTAGGACATTTTCAAAGACAATCTTAAAATGGCAGCATTTTTGTTTCGTCAAATTTCCGTGGCTTATTATGGGGTTTTTTTTTCCATTTCTCTAAGCATTTGTTCTCTCTTGGATTCTCGTGAAATCTCTCTAACCGTTCTTTGAACATTTCCCTTTATAACTCAATGTCAGTGGGAGCAACAAGAATAAAAAAAAGTTGGCAAATTTAGAAGGACCCTACTTGATTGCGTAACGGAAATGGGATGTTAATTACCCCAAGCCCGATAATGGGGTGGGAGAATTGTGGTTTGAGGTAATGCCATAATGACTGCTTCTGCCTCCTCAGCTACGCGGCTGTCCTGATAAACTCTCCGTTGCTTCCTTTGTGTTATGCTTCCATATCCCCATGGGGAATTGAATAACTGCAAGCATTAGGCCCTGCCACCGGGGAAAAAAAAGCTAGGATCTATCTGAACAATTAAAGCCATCCCATCAAGGAATCCAGAGCTTTACGTGGACTGAAGTGGAATTAGTAATTTGCAGCGTGCTTCACCTGGGACAGATGCATTAGTGAGCCTCCCTTCCTCTCCCAAAATTCACAGGCAATTGTCATTACAGAAGGTTATATAACTCCGTGTTCCTACAACAGAGCACAAATGACAATACGAATGAAAACCCTTTAATAATGCCCTTTTATTTACATAATATTTATACCTAATTGTGTATACGTCATGGTAGCCCTTACACAGGTATGAAAAGTTTTTATTGTCTAAGGGTTTAAAAAATAAAAGCAATTACAGGTGTTCACGTGGGGAGTCCGCTAACTGATTGGCTCGCTCTTCAAATTTGAGTTGGCAGAGGCCTACGGAAGGCTGGCAGTGTACATTATAGTTTGTTCGCAGTGTCATAAAAACCTTTTTAAATAATCCACAGCACATACCTCAACTGCTCTGTAATGCAGTTTGGCTGCAGCTCGCGTTATAAATGCGGGTGTGTTATATTGCTCCTCCTAGGTTTCATTCTCAAAGTTTGCATTACAGTTTATTTGGCCACAAATGCAGTGGCATGCAAAAAAACGCTGTTGTGGATTTGCAGCCACCCAGATTTTAATGAAGTAATCAGACAAAACTTATCTCAAGAGCGGCATAATTTTAGATAATTAACAGCTGGTTGTCTTGTTTAAACACAATTTTCCAAAATGTGTTAACTTTAGGGCCAGGCCCACATGCTCGGTGAATATTCATGAGCATTTGGGTTATAAGCTACTCATACTTTTGATGCTAATCATCATTAGGGAAATTTTAGAGAAAGTTAATTCCACCGCCATCAACCCCCGCCCCACAAAACTTTAATCAAATGTCACGTGTCATAATATCGGTGGGATGCTGCCGTGGTACGTTAAGCGTTTCGGTTAGCGAAGTGGACAATCCAAAGTTGCCCAGTTCCATTCGATACTCCCAGCAGTCAAAACAATCGGGGCAAGCAGACATTGATACCTTTCCACTCATACTAAGAGGAGCGGTGGCGCAGTGGCTGGCGAGATTGGGATAGGAACCCGGTGACCTGAGTTTGATTCCCGACCATGCCCTTCCCCCCCCCACCCCCCACCTTTGTCTTAACAGCAGTATGAATGGGTTCGACCATAGTTGATCTGCAAACCTCTTCCAACACGTCTGGCCAGTATGGACTTATTTGGCCACTTACCCTCTAGAGGTGTTCTCTTTTCTCTAGAGATTCCTCTCCTGGAGGCCTTAATGCCAGCAGCGTCGTGACATAAAATATTGCCGGGCTGCGCATTTAATTTGAAATTATTTCTGTCGGTAGTGCTTTGGAGTTTGTGTATTATTATTATCGTCACATTCCACATTTCGTTTCTTGCAGCAGAGGCACGGCGCCCGGCCGGAGAGGAACGCTCGCGCTCGCGAGGCCGCGCCGATGTGCCGTCGCGTACCCGCATGTCGCGTGACCTGGAGATGGCCCTGCTGGATGGGGACAGAAGAGCTCCTGCCACCACCGTGAGGGAGAAGACCAAGGCCGTGGAGGGAGACACCCCTCCCGAAGTAGAGAAGGACTCGAAAACAACGGACGTGGAAATGGAGGAGGAGGAACTCGCAGTGACTGTAACTGAAGAGTGATGCTTTGTGGATTAGATAGATAATTAAGCTGTGTATGCATGAAAAGAAAAGCATAGGATGTTTTTAATCGTCATTTTATATTCCGATTGGCACGACGGAGGTTGTCATTATTGTCCAACCCTGCCTTATGTATTTGTGCCCTTTGAATTAATAATGCCGACTTATGAAATGTAAAAGAGCATAGTTTTGCAAACCTGTCACAGTCAGAAAATAAATAAGGAATCTAGCCATGTTGAAGAGACTTGGATGTTTTATCTTCAGGGATATGAGAAGCTTTGTTTATAAATAGAATGATGTGTTGCTTGGGTACAAATGCTTTCACAGTTTTGTGGAAAATATTTTTTTGCATTCCACACTTTTGAAACATCCTGGGGTTTTTTATTTGAATAAAAAGCATGATCTTAAACTAACTTTCGAATTTAAAGAAAAACAAAATACTAGCAACTGCGTTTTTTTCTCTCCATTATTTAGCATGAATTATTAACACTCGGCGAATGTTTGGCAAGTGTTAATTTATTCCGGCTGAGCCACATGCCGTTATCTTGCATGGATGGACATGTGCACTTTTGCTAAAGGGAATAATTTGCATATCACGCATTGTTATTTTTTTTGCAAACTTGCTGCACAAGTAATTTGGTTTTCCCTGAATTTGTTGTACATATGCGGTTTTTGAATGTATGCATATGGTCAAATTCACAAACTTGGTTATGTTCACAAAACGAGAACCCATCATAATGAGCTCTTTTGGAAGCTTATTGATAAGCATTTATACTGTAGCTCGATACTTTCATTCGCAATTTTGGGTTGTATATTTAAATGGGGATACAACCCACGTATTTTTTTATTTAATTGTCACGGGAAAATGCATCTATTAATAGGAAGCCTGCTGTTGTACATGTACACCCCTTTGGTAATGTGCTACGACACCGCGACACTGCTGGTAGACGGCCACCCTTTATTTGACCATACTTCACGCCGGTCAGTGGATAGGTGAAAATGGGGAGCATAGATGTATAGTGCAACCTGGCATACACAGTGGTCATCTATACAAACAATATCCAGGCTCAAAGCTGCTTAGCTTCCGAGATCCCGTGAGATTGAGGAGGCGATTTGGCCCGTCGGCACAGTTTGCTATCGTTAGGGGGTTTTTGAATTCCCTCTGCACTGGGCTCTTTAACATCTAATGGCTCCAGCCGTGTGCCCCGCTCATTGTGATGTGGCCAGAGAGCGGGGTTTTCACCTCGTGAATGGACATGAATGGACTCCAGCTTGGCTGCGGTTCAGCGTTAAGTCTTCGCAAATGCCTCACTGTGCAGCTGCTCGGTGCTGTCCAGGCGTGCAAATACGTCGGGAAGCACCGAAAGTCTGCTTGGATGCTTCCCCCCCCCCAACCCCCGTAACATGCAAGCGGTGGCAATGAATTAACGTGGGGGGTGGGGGCCCCGGCGGTAGGATTGCTTGTCGCTCGTTTAAGAGGTTCACGGCTCGAATACAGTGGCCACCCTGATTAATACAGTGATGCACGTCTGCTTTGCAGTAGACGCCAAATGTCCCTTGAAGTCATTCGCAAGCATTGAGCCGTTGTGGGATGGCGTTGTGGTGCAAATTTTAAAGAAAGACGACAAAAACACCCCTTGGTAGGACCCTCCTGAGAAATGACCCTTGGACTCGGTGAGACTTTTATGGGTAAACGTAAAATAATTGCGCCACTGCAGTGATCTCCCTCGAGGGTATTATGGTAGTGCTCCTTATACAGTGAGGGGAAAAAAAGTATTTGATCCCCTGCTGATTTTGTACGTTTGCCCACTGACAAAGAAATGATCAGTCTATAATTTTAATGGTAGGTTTATTTTAACAGTGAGAGACAGAATAACAACAACAAAATCCAGAAAAACGCATGTCAAAAATGTTATAAATTGATTTGCATTTTAATGAGGGAAATAAGTATTTGACCCCTCTGCAAAACATGACTTCGTACTTGGTGGCAAAACCATTGTTGCAATCACAGAGGTCAAACGTTTCTTGTAGTTGGCCACCAGGTTTGCACACATCTCAGGAGGCATTTTGTCCCACTCCTCTTTGCAGATCTTCTCCAAGTCATTAAGGTTTCGAGGCTGACGTTTGGCAACTCGAACCTTCAGCTCCCTGAACACAGATTAAGGTCTGGAGACTGGCTAGGCCACTCCAGGACCTTAATGTGCTTTTTCTTGAGCCACTCCTTTGGTGCCTTGGCCGTGTGTTTTGGGTCATTGTCATGCTGGAATACCCATCCACGACCCATTTTCAATGCCCTGACTGAGGGAAGGCGGTTCTCAACCAAGATTTGACGGTACATGGCCCCGTCCATCGTCCCTTTGATGCGGTGAAGTTGTCCTGTCCCCTTAGCAGAAAAACACTCCCAAAGCATAATGTTTCCACCTCCATGTTTGACGGTGGGGATGGTGTTCTTGGGGTCATAGGCAGCATTCCTCCTCCAAACACGGCGAGTTGAGTTGATGCCAAATAGCTCCATTTTGGTCTCATCTGACCACAACACTTTCACCCAGTTGTCCCCTGAATCATTCAAATGTTCATTGGCAAACTTCAGACGGGCATGTATGTGTGCTTTCTTGAGCGGGCGCTGCAGGATTTAAGTCCTTCACGGCGTAGTGTGTTACCAATTGTTTTCTTGGTGACTATGGTCCCAGCTGCCTTGAGATCATTGACAAGGTCCTCCCGTGTAGTTCTGGGCTGATTCCTCACCGTTCTCATGATCATTGCAACTCCACGAGGTGAGATCTTGCATGGAGCCCCAGGCCGAGGGATATTGACAGTTATTTTGTGTTTCTTCCATTTGCGAATAATCGCACCAACTGTTGTCACCTTCTCACCAAGCTGCTTGGCAATGGTCTTGTAGCCCATTCTAGCCTTGTGTAGGCCTACAATCTTGTCCCTGACATCCTTGGAGAGTTCTTTGGTCTTGGCCATGGTGGAGAGTTTGGAATCTGATTGATTGATTGTTTCTGTGGACAGGTGTCTTTTATACAGGTAACAAGCTGAGATTAGGAGCACTCCCTTTACGAGTGTGCTCCTCCTAATCTCAGCTGGTTACCTGTATAAAAGACACCTGGGAGCCAGAAATCTTTCTGATTGAGAGGGGGTCAAATACTTATTTCCCTCATTAAAATGCAAATCAATTTATAACATTTTGACATGCGTTTTTCTGGATTTTTTTGTTATTCTGTCTCTCACTGTTCAAATAAACATACCATTAAAATTATAGACTGATCATTTCTTTGCCAGTGGGCAAACGTACAAAATCAGCAGGGGATCAAATACTTTCTTCCCTCACTGTAAGATGTGTTATCACTGTATGTTCTTCCATATCTCACGAGCAAAGAGACAATCGTGTGTTGAACGGCTCAAAAACGCATACACCCTTGGCAAAATTACTGTTATAACTTTCTTGGGTTACATCTTCAGCAATGCGCTTGGCGTGGTTATTGGTTCGAGACCAGTGGCCACCCTGGTTAATAATACCGCAGGTGTTATAAATCATAAAATACATGTCTGCTTCACAGCAGACGTTACGGATCCTCGTACGTTATATCGAAAAAGAATAGGCCCATATGTAGCGGTGTCGTCCAAATTTGATTACTTACTCAAAGATGTACGTACGTAATTGGATAATCTATGGCAGCCTTGTCCCCTACTGGTAGACTAATGCCCATGCTTTGGCCTGTGCTGCTTACACCTTGTGCTGCAGAGGGGCATCTTGCCACTGGGAGTTGTCCCCTTGGGCTAGACCGCAGCAGTGCATTAGAATGGTTGAGACGAAATGCGATACAAAAGTGTATTGGACATGAACCTGATGGCAGTACCCCGGGGTACCATAGCTACCCCGGCTCTCACACAATGTCCGTGATGCAGTCATTTTTAGTCTGTTGATGGCCAGCGATTCGGCAATCGACTCATCTCGACGAGCTGTACTCACGATGCACCGCTACGGTGCGCACGAGCGTTCAGGGTTTCAGCGCAATCGTCCTCGCTGAGTTTCAACATCGCGGAGTGTAGCACCGATTTTGGATTGATTCGTACCCCAGTCACGTAGTTAAGTACACCCCTGGAAAAAATAGTGTCCCAGAAATAAAATATCACTATGGAACACGACTTTTGTTCCTGGGTAGCGAGTGTTATTTTCTTATTACTTTTGCCTCAAAAGTGTAGAAAATGGTTATTATTATTCTCCACAAACTTTGCTTTTGTCACCAGGACTTTAGTGAAGGAATGACACAAATGCACACCACGTTTTCTCATTGAAAATATGTACATTTCAAAATATCACTGTCCTGGTCACAAAAGCAAAGTTTGTGGGGAATAATAGCCATTTTCTGTACTTTTGAGGCATAAGCAATTGGGAAATAACACTACCCAGGAACAAAAAAAATCCTTCTGCCATTTAGTTTTATTTAGAACCCCGGGGAACCACCATAAGGATCATATAATTGAAGACTTGGGTGTAAGTGCATCAGATTCAGTGCCAAATGGAGACGTTAAAAAACAAAGGCAAAATGTGGATAATTATAGACTTAGACATGGTACAATACTCTTCACAAGTTGTTTATGTATAGTACTGATGTCAGTGAATACTTGGTTCCTTTGCTTGGTTGTCAAGCTATATATTTGCAGCCTTGTAAAAGTAACATGATATATTGGGAGATAGGGTAGGTGAAAATATCGCACGTGTTTTTTTTTGTTAGAAATACATTTGAAAATGAATTTCTTGAGAACTGCTTGTTTAGTTTGTCCTTCCCCCGCACCTCCGATTAGCATGGTTCGCAACGTACGACGCAAAAGAAGTTCAACGTACGTAAAACGATCTATTTTGTTTCCTTGATTCCTTAATACTTGATAAAGCCTTTGAAAGTAAGTCGACCTTCCTGCCCCGTCTTCGTGCTGCCACTTTAAGCGACGTCACACCTTGGAGGTTACACAGTGAGAAGGACACTGCAACACACAGGTCACATAACACACTTAATGTTCAAAATTTACCGTGCAGGCAACCGGAATATTTGTTGGGTTTTAATTTTTTTTTTTAATATGTATGGTTCATGTTTAATGTCCCAAATGGCTCTGGGCTTGGCATATGGTGTGTGCTTCACTGCATTTGGTTAACAATCGTGCACCAAGCTGCCAGCTACCCAAGGTGAAGGAGCCATTGTCTTCAGAATGTAATCCGATTGAGTGGAGGACACGCACGCCATGAATGTGATAAACATGTTTCATGCAATAATAGGAAAATTGAATTATATGAAAGTGAGCTTCGTGGACATTTGTAATGCGCATTCCGTCTTTTGTGTTATTAAAATTCTGTCTGAGCTCAATGCCAGGATAAGGCACCGTAAATGATACAACATTTAACAGAAAAACAAATATTCAATACCGCATCACTTCAAAAATATAAATTGCACATTAACATGATATTGCAAGTTCAAATTGTTCAGATTTATCAATTTTTCGCCTATGGTTCGTGCACATAGCTCCTTTATAGAATTTAACTGTGTTTCAGTCCCGTTCAATCATTGCGACATTCCATAACTGCTAACAGATGCCGCAAGCAGAAATCCCTCGGGATTCATGATTACCATCGAATGGCACCATCACATCTGGGCAAACTACCACAACTCGTGTTTTCCAAACTAGGCGTACAAATGCAAGCTTCATAGAAAAGATTGTTTTATTTGAAGTGGCACTAATTTAGCTGGCAGAGCCGTTGAGGTACGAGACACTGCATGGACTGTTGTACGCACACCCTGTCACTTCACTCGGGCCTTCGGCCCCGCGGGCACTCATTGAATCCCGACTGTCAGCGCCTGTCTATTACTTCCTCTGTAGAAGGCCACACGTGTCTCGCTGGCAGATGTGTACGTGTTTAGCTTGAGATGAGGAGGAGTGATGAAAACCAGGGGGAAAGAGCGTGTCCACTACATTGGCCGTGCAGCTCGCCTCTTTGCTGTCAAAATACACTGGTACCGTGCGTACACAGTCTGTAAAAAAAAAACATTTGTGTCCATTGCACACTTAATGACTCGAGGTTGCGTATGAATTATTGAAACGTGTGTGGACTCAAGGTGACTTAATTATTTTCCATCAGAGATGCGCGCATTCGCACGGAGCGGTCACATTAAAGTGGACGCGTCATATGTTCAAAGAGCGACCTACCAAAGCCACGGCATGTCATTGGCTGCCGGAGACGTTTGGGGTTATTTTTCCCGCGAATACTTTTATCGTTCCGAGCGTGTTCGAGCGTGCCAAGTGGGTTGCCTCGTCTGAGATTGGCCAAATTAGTTTAACACTCGGAGTTTCGTTTAAATTAACGCAGGTGTGGATTCCCTGCTCAGTCGACACGCTCAGCACAGCAGGAACCAGATGAATGAACTTTACTCTGTCCAAAATTTAACCGCTCATTTTCATTCGCACGCCCCCAGGCACTGTGCACTAGCTCCTGAAATAACATTCCCAGCCCGGACATTAACTTTCTTTGGAGAAAACTTTGTTCACTGTTTTGTAGTGCGTTTATTACATTTCATTTATTTTAACTCTTGTTTAAGGTAACTACAGAGTACCATGCGAATGCCTTCCCTTGCTCCGAGCGACAGCTTCATGGAATCAAATTTGAGGGCAGATCATATAAGCAGCACCTAATGATGGCACACTATCGCGTGTGGCATGACGTTTTTTTTTTCAGGTCACGGCTCCCAGTTATTTAGATATTTATTTGTGGCTACAGTGTCCAAATGGCACAGTGTCCAGAATTATCATGAAGTGCATATGCCAATATAGGAGGGGGAATACTTGTAGGTGAAGCAACATTGTATTTATTCACATACACTGTCTAAATTGCGTATGAACATACAAGGGGCACATTTTAACCACTCGCACTCAATAAAATCCACGGCCTTGCACTGGGGGGTGGGGGGGTTGTGGGAGGTGGGAAACGGAAATAAATACGACCTTAAATTAACATTACCTGATAAAACTGTCGTCTTGGAATCAGCCCGTGAGAGTCCACGCGTCAGGGTTTTGGGGGGTAGCATCCTGGGAAAAAACGCGCGCCCTCTTTTTTTTCCTAGCCAACGCACGCAAAGGGAACTGCATTTAATTTTCACGTATAATGAAGCATGCGCATCGAAAATAGATAGAGTTTATCGAGGTCGTGGGGAATTTTTAACCGCGCACGATGGACCCGGGTGATGAGTGATGGTGCGTCGGCACTCTTTTTTTCCCCGGGCTGCGTTTGCCTCTGCTCGGCTCCATTGCCACCAAATTACCCTGCAGCCGAAGAGTTCAGCCACGCTGGAATGACGCGCCGCGTGGCCCTCGTCTAGCCGTCGCTGCTGATAATGATCGGCTATTAGCCAATCCCCGTGTTGTCCTCAGTAGAAGTTGGCCTTCGCTGTGAATGAGCGAGATGTTTTCCAAAATTAAAGGAAAACAGGGCGTGTAAAATTTTGATGTAAAGCTTTTGTGACCGCAGGGATTCATATTCTTGGTTCTTTCGGTAAAGTCGCGCAGAAGGGAAACGATAAAATAATAAAAATATAAAACAATAAAAATTCTCACGACGTTTCGACTGCAACACAAGCAATCATCATCAGGTGTGAAAACCACAACAAGGGCTGTCAAATTGTCGGGTTTTTTTTCTTATTTTCAGAGCACGGTGTCTATTCTCTCGCACACGGATTTATAGAATTTTCGGCGCCATTGAAGAAGATTGGTTAGGAATGTATTGTGGGTTTCGTCACAAATGAATTGCGTGAAGTCACAGAGAAAAAAAAGCATTCTGTTCCAGCTGCATTTTCACATGAAAATGCGTCGTGACAGAGGTGGTTAATGGCCCTTTAAATTTTCTGCACCGGCATTTAAATGTAATTGCAATCAATGAGATTTTGAAGCATTTAAACCGTGAAGATCGCTTGCCGTTTGTAGCACTCTTTTCATAGGTATCCATCCGTGATCTAACCGCCTTGAAAGGCGCTTACTGCTGACATGCTATTATTATGATGTTTCTGTTCAATTAAACAAAAGAATTGGAGGGCGTATTTTTAGGTGCTAATGTGGGCATAGCGTTCCATTTCGGAGCCACCCTTTGTTCCAGAATTAAGCCAACAATACAACCACTCGTGTGCGCATGGCCGTCATTAATTGTATATGTAACTTATTTTCCCAGAAGTTTGAAACTGTAAACTCTGAAGGCCATTGTGCTCAATGTTCCACAGAGTGCCCATCTGTCTGCAATAAAAAGGAATATTTGTCATTATGAACAACTGTGCTCTAGGATTGTTTAACATCCTTCATGGCATTGCGAGGTACATTAGGGATTAACTTGGCGGGAAGAAGACCGTTTGGGAATTGCCAGAGAGCCAGGGAATACCGTTGTAAAAGAGTTCATGTCAGCCTTGTATAGTCCCAAACGCCAGGTGGGTTAATAACGGGATGGCATCGCCTTACTGTACATTATATTGTACTAAATTCCTCTGAGAATTGTGAGGTTACGAGATATGGGGGTGGGAAGAGGTGACACTTTTGCCAATGCTGTGATAAAGGTCCCGTTTCTCTTTGAGGCACCCTCCTCCGTGATGATGTATGGCTGTGCCCCGTTCGGACCCAGTTGACTGATAGGGGCTGCCGTCGACAGAGAGCAATGTGCTGCATTTGTGTGGGACACTGGAGTTTTGGGCTCTCGTGAAAAGTCGTAGCCTCCAACCACATGGCCATGCCCTATACTCAATAGTGATTGTGCCCCGATGGCACTATACGGTGAAGGATGTGCCCTATATGTTGCGTATAGTGGAAATATTGCCTGCGCTACTGGCGAGCTGCTTGCTGTTCTTGATTTGCTGTGGGCGAAGCTGTAAAAGCACTTTTTTTAATTTTGAATGCTCCATGCCGAGTAGTTTTATAAGCCACGCTGGCGAGAATGTTTCCACCCATACTCCCTCTCTTTCCTTCATCGCCTCCTCCCTACCGCTCAACTCCCTAGCGACCCAGCCCATTGTCCTGCCTGCCCGGGCAAGCATCTGTCAGACGCGTCGGGGGATGTGCTCAGCGTGGAGCCTACCGCCGCTGAATAGAGTCCCTTAAAAACAAGAGTTTGATTTAGTATCCCCCCCCACCAACCTCTCACATACACACACACACGCCAGCTCCTCGCTGCAACGATCATCTATCACAGTGCGCCCATATTCCCTCGAGCTAGCTGCCTGGTCGGCAGGCTAAAAAGCACAAACCCCAAGCTAACAACTCAACGGCAGGACCCCGGCATGGTGCATGAAAAGACTCCAATGGAGCGCATTTAAACAGCAAGCACCCACCTCTCCTCCCCTCCCTTTTACTGAAAACTTTTTATCTCCGGCGCTCCATCTAACCCCCCCCCCACACACACCCCTCACCCTAACGAGCAGGCGACCTTCAGTTTACACTGTGTCTGGCTGCGAGACAAAATTGTGCTTGGACAAGGCCTTTGACCTGCCACAAACTCCACCACAAAGATGGCTCAGACGTTTTGTCAGCGGCACATTGTCACTTGGGCTTTCCAGGGCCGCATTATGCATTCCCTGCGATCGGCTCATTACGCATGCGGCATCGCAAGTCCCCGGCTCTTTGTTTCGGATTCTTGGTTCGAGCACGTGGAATTCCCCCCCCCCCCCCCCCCCCCAAAAAAAAAAGATTTTTTTATGTTTTTACTGTTTGCCGTATCGCTTTACATCTCGTTCATGAATAGAATATTTTGGCTCGCGTTTTGAATCGTCTTAAAACGGCGTGTAAAACGCGTTTGATATTCGTATTGTGTTCACGATGCTGCCGCTGTGTAATGGCCATACATAAAGATAGATCGATGCACTCTTAATGGTTCGTATACTGGGACTTGCAATCCAGAGGTTGCCGATTCGATCCGATTTCCCGACGCAGCAGTTGAAATGGGACATTTTCCTGAATCTCTCTCCTTTTCCACCCGGAAATATAAGCAGGCACATCACAGTCGGGTCGGACGGGTGTATAGTGGTGTCCAGTCTGGATATCTCGCCCCCTCTGAGATGTCTGGCAAGCGTGAACGGGTAGGTCAAATGCCCTCGAGATCGGCAGTCTCGAGAGAGCTCCTTCTTGTGGAAGCTCTTCAAGGAATCGCAGGGCTGCAATTTTACATATCGTCGCTTGAACGTCCAATTGCGATGCAACAAGACGAATATTCCAGTGTAGACTTTTACACGTGTGAGGCAAGTGCTGTTAGCGAGCACCTATGAAGGCCACACACCTGAACACACACACACACACTCGGGAAGAGTTTGACCAACAATTAAGAAGCAGATCTTTGTAGGCACGCAAGCCACTGGTCATCTCATAACACCGACTAGCACGGACATATCGATAAGGTCTGCCTGCTATAAGGCTATACCAGGGGTTTAGCAACCAAAACAACAAGAATTCGGTATATATTTTAAAAACACCCTCAATATTTCAGGATCCGCAATGCTGGTGGTGAATCCGGGACGGGTGGGTCCTTAATAAATAACGGACACGAAGCAGCCCTGAAAGGAGGCACAAGCGGCTCCTGAGCTGCAGGTTGCCGACTCCACTGGGCTAAACTGTAGCAGGCAACAACACTGAGGTTGTAGCAGGCAACAACACTGAGGTTGTAGCAGGCAACGACACTGAGGTTGTAGCAGGCACAACATCACTGAGGTTGTAGCAGGCAACAACACTTGAGGTTGTAGCAGGCAACATCACTGAGGTTGTAGCAGGCAACATCACTGAAGTGGTAGCAGGCAACAACACTGAGGTTGTAGCAGGCAACAACACTGAGGTTGTAGCAGGCAACATCACTGAAGTTGTAGCAGGCAACATCACTGAAGTGGTAGCAGGCAACAACACTGAGGTTGTAGCAGGCAACAACACTGAGGTTGTAGCAGGCAACATCACTGAAGTGGTAGCAGGCAACAACACTGAGGTTGTAGCAGGCAACATCACTGAAGTGGTAGCAGGCAACAACACTGAGGTTGTAGCAGGCAACAACACTGAGGTTGTAGCAGGCAACATCACTGAAGTTGTAGCAGGCAACATCACTGAAGTGGTAGCAGGCAACAACACTGAGGTTGTAGCAGGCAACAACACTGAGGTTGTAGCAGGCAACATCACTGAGGTTGTAGCAGGCAACAACACTGAGGTTGTAGCAGGCAACATCACTTTAGGTTGTAGCAGGCAACATCACTGAGGTTGTAGCAGGCAACGACACTGAGGTTGTAGCAGGCAACATCACTTTAGGTTGTAGCAGGCAACATCACTGAGGTTGTAGCAGGCAACAACACTGAGGTTGTGGCAGGCAACATCACTGAAGTTGTAGCAGGCAACATCACTGAGGTTGTAGCAGGCAACAACACTGAGGTTGTGGCAGGCAACATCACTGAAGTTGTAGCAGGCAACAACACTGAGGTTGTAGCAGGCAACAACACTGAGGTTGTAGCAGTCAACATCACTGAAGTTGTAGCAGGCAACATCACTGAGGTTGTAGCAGGCAACAACACTTGAGGTTGTAGCAGGCAACATCACTGAATTTGTAGCAGGCAACAACACTGAGGTTGTAGCAGGCAACAACACTTGAGGTTGTAGCAGTCAACATCACTGAAGTTGTAGCAGGCAACATCACTGAGGTTGTAGCAGGCAACTACACTGAGGTTGTAGCAGACAACAACACTGAAATATTCTCGTGCCAGGGAAGAGGGGAAAAAAATCAGGTCGTGTCTGTGATATGAAATGCGTGCACAGAAGTGAAATTGATTTCAGCGTTGATGCAAAGTAGGCTGCGAGGGAGAGGCAGAAAGGAGAGTTGGCGTGCGCGCCACGCCTATATCGAGGCGACGCTCCGCGTTGTGTCCTTCCCGTGGCGTGACCTGCACGCCTGCACCTCATAACGGTGCATTGCATCGGGCCATCCAATCTCCCTGCTCCGCGCAGTCGCTCCTTTCAATGGCCTCATCAATTATCGTAAACTCTCGCTCCGGGGAGAAGGAGCGGCTGGCATCCCAGCGCCGTCACCGCTGCTGTGCGCCGCGCGGCGCCTTTCGTGCATACGTTGCGTAAGTGCGGGCCGTGTACACGTGCCCGAAGTGTATGGTGAACACGTGCCCGAGTGTATGGTGTACACGTGCCCGAAGTGTATGGTGAACACGTGCCCGAGTGTATGGTGTACACGTGCCCGAAGTGTATGGTGAACACGTGCCCGAGTGTATGGTGTACACGTGCCCGAGTGTATGGTGAACACGTGCCCGAGTCTATGGTGTACACGTGCCCGAGTGTATGGTGAACACGTGCCCGAGTGTATGGTGAACACGTGCCCGAGTGTATGGTGAACACGTGCCTGAGTGTACACGTGCCCGAAGTGTATGGTGAACACGTGCCCGAGTGTATGTATGGTGAACACGTGCCCGAGTGTATGTATGGTGAACACGTGCCCGAGTGTACACGTGCCCGAAGTGTATTATGGTGAACACGTGCCCGAGTGTATGGTGTACACGTGCCCGAGTGTATGTATGATGAACACGTGCCCGAGTGTATGGTGTACACGTGCCCGAGTGTATGGTGTACACGTGCCCGAAGTGTATGGTGTACACGTGCCCGAGTGTATGGTGTACACGTGCCCGAGTGTATGGTGTACACGTGCCCGAGTGTATGTGTGGTGAACACGTGCCCGAGTGTACACGTGCCCGAAGTGTATGTATGGTGAACACGTGCCCGAGTGTATGGTGTACACGTGCCCGAGTGTATGTATGATGAACACGTGCCCGAGTGTATGGTGTACACGTGCCTGAGTGTATGGTGAACACGTGCCCGAGTGTATGGTGAACACGTGCCCGAGTATACGGTGTACACGTGCCCGAAGTGTATGGTGAACACGTGCCCGAAGTGTATGTATGGTGAACACGTGCCCGAGTGTATGGTGTACACGTGCCCGAGTGTATGTATGGTGTACACGTGCCCGAGTATACGGTGTACACGTGCCCGAAGTGTATGGTGAACACGTGCCCGAAGTGTATGTATGGTGAACACGTGCCCGAGTGTATGGTGTACACGTGCCCGAGTGTATGTATGGTGAACACGTGCCCGAGTGTACACGTGCCCGAAGTGTATGGTGAACACGTGCCCGAAGTGTAAGGTGAACACGTGCCCGAGTGTATGGTGAACACGTGCCCGAGTGTATGGTGAACACGTGCCCGAGTGTATGGTGAACACGTGCCCGAGTGTACACGTGCCCGAGTGTATGGTGAACACGTGCCCGAAGTGTATGGATTACACGTGCCCGAGTGTATGGTGAACACGTGCCCGATTGTATGGTGAACACGTGCCCGAGTGTATGTGAACACGTGCACGAAGTGTATGGTGTACACGTGCCTGAAGTGTATGGTGTACACGTGCCCGAGTGTATGTGAACACGTACTCGAAGTGTATGGTGTACACGTGCCCGAGTGTATGGTGAACACGTGCCCGAGTGTATGGTGAACACGTGCCCGAGTGTATGTGAACACGTGCACGAAGTGTATGGTGTACACGTGCCCGAGTGTATGGTGTACACGTGCCCGAGTGTATGGTGAACACGTACTCGAAGTGTATGGTGTACACGTGCCCGAGTGTATGGTGAACACGTGCCAGAGTGTATGGTGAACACGTGCCCGAGTGTATGGTGAACACGTGCCTGAGTATACGGTGTACACGTGCCCGAGTGTATGGTGAACACGTACTCGAAGTGTATGGTGTACACGTGCCCGAGTGTATGGTGAACACGTGCCAGAGTGTATGGTGAACACGTGCCCGAGTGTATGGTGAACACGTACTCGAAGTGTATGGTGTACACGTGCCCGAGTGTATGGTAAACACGTGCTTGAAGTGTATGGTGTACACGTACCCGAGTGTATGGTGAACACGTGCCCGAGTGTACGGTGTACACGTGCCCGAGTGTATGTGAACACCTGCCAGAGTGTATGGTGAACACGTACTCGAAGTGTATGGTGTACACGTGCCCGAGTGTATGGTAAACACGTGCTTGAAGCGTATGGTGTACACGTACCCGAGTGTACGGTGAACACGTGCCCGAGTGTACGGTGTACACGTACCCGAGTGTACGGTGTACACGTGCCCGAAGCGTACGGTGAACACGTGCCAGAGTGCATGGTGAACACGTGCCAGAGTGCATGGTGAACACGTGCTTGCATTGGGTGCGTGAGTGTACGTGCGTGCGTGAGTGCATGCGTGCGTTCGGGCATTCCACGTGGTCCACCGCAGAGGGGTTTTGTTGTTGCGTGTTGTTTAGATGTATTGCGAGGGGGGGGAGGGGGGTGACAGTCCCTTGGCTCCACCAAAATGGGGTTTGGTCAGAAGACTTCATGAGCGCCCTTCCGCTCCACGCCCTTGGGTCCTCCAGCACAAGCGATATGGTTATTGGTAAAAATCAGTGGAAGGTGGAGAGGGGTCACCTCCCCCTCGCACACACTCATCTGCCTACAAATGATAAAGGTCCCCCGTGTAGACATAACAGACTGTTGGGGCAAGTGCTGTTCTCGAGCACACAAGGTGGTGGGTGGCCAGCACCACGCCCAGCCGCCTTTGTCGTCCTCTTGGTGAAGTTTACAAATTGCACCTGGTACCCATTTGATGATGAGTCTTTCTAGGGGATGCCCACGGTTCGTTGCGCTGATCACGGCTCTTGTGCCTGGCTAGGTGTACCTTCAGGCCACGTGAAGTGTCGAAGGCTCGCTGGCAGGAGGTCACGGTACAGACCCAGGTCTTCTCGGCCATAGTTCAGCCCTGCCTACTCTCTGCTTGCGAAATGTGGAGCCGTCTATGGGAACATCTGCGCCGATTCGAAACATTTAGGCTGGCCTGCCTACGATCCATCATGGGTTTAACCAGACTGGATTGTGTGAGGTCACAGATCCTTGAAAGATCTGGACACGGTCCCATCGGTTAGCTCCTCCGGCAGGCGAGGGTGCGTTGGCTGGGTCATGTAGCCCGCATGCACAAACAGCTTTTGTTTGGCCGGATAGAGGGGGGGGGTAAATGAGCACGGCACGGACTAAAGGAGAGAAGGGCTGACGTGGCTCCGAAGGATGTGGAGCTGAGTGGACTTGGAGATGACTGCTTACCAGGGGTGTCAAAGATCGGCGTCTGCGAAGGAAACGCTTCTGGGCGTTTGGAGGCAGTCGCTCTCCAACAACAGCAGCAGCAGCGAAGGGCTGAGACGAGCGACGCCCACGGACGAGCCGAGCGCCGAGCGGCTAAAACGCACCAAGTTAGCACGGGAGGACGGGACGCACAGGCCGTGCCAGTCGTTTCGGTCAGCCAAACCCCCCACCGGGACACCTCGCGTACGTCGGCAGCGAGACCTTCGTCACTTCACGCGGCCTCGAAGTGCACCTATCCTGGCACAAGCGCCGTGGTGATGTCACCGCCACTTCGCGGCCGAACGGCGGTCGGATGAGTGTGCGAGTTTGATTGCACGCGTGCGTGATTGCGTTGACTGTGTACGCGCGCGCGGGGAGCGGTAGTGTAGCGCGCTGCGCTACGAACCCGGCGAGCCGTGTTGGGCCTCCCCTAGGTCGACTCGGCCTCAAATGAGTACCTGGTTGCGGTGTGTAAAACATCGGGTGGTGGTGCTGGCCACCCACCCCATCGTGTGTACGTACCGTGCCACGGCCTTCGTAGTTGCTCGCTAACATCACTTGCTCCGACACTCTGTTGAGGGTATGCGGGGTGTTTATTTGTGTACGCGTGCGTGCGTGTGTGCGTGTGCACGTACGTGCATGGCCTGGCACAAGCGTCGTGGTGACGTCACCGCCACTTAGTGGCGAATGGTGGTGGTTGTTGTTGTTGTTGTTACATGGTTGTGCGTGCGTGTCCACGTGGAAGCGTTCGTGCTCGAGTGCATCGCGTGCGGTGTACACGTGCGCGTGCCCCCCCCCTCCCACCGTGTGTGTGTTGGTGTGTGTGTATGTAGGTGTGTGTATGTGTGTGTATGTAGGTGTGTGTGTGTGTATGAAGGTGTGGGGAGCGATAGTGTAGCGGTTAGCGCGCTGCGCTATGAACCTGGCGACCCGGGTTCGATTCCCGCTCACGGCCAACACCACCAGTGACGATTATTTTAACCGGTCCCGGGCCTCCCCTAGGTCGACTCAGCCTCAAATGAGTACCTGGTGCGGTGTGTAAACATTGCCACTTGGGAGACAAAGGCGGTCGGGCGTGGTGCTGGCCACCCACCCCCTCGTGTACCGTTCCGGCCTTCATAGGTGCTCGCTAACAGCACTTGCCCCTACAGTCTGTTAAGGCTATATGGGGGGGATCTTTGTTTTGTTTGTTTGTATGTAGGTGTGTGTATTGTCCGCAAATGACATTAACTCCAGTCCGGGCGAGACAAACTTTCCGCCGCTTAATGACGACTGTCGGTGGTAACGAGCGTGGCTAATGGGAAGTTATTTAATAGATTAAATGAAGTTAAAAAGCCATGAAAGTGTTATTGCCATTACGGAGATGTTGCTACGAAGCGTCTCCCACCCCCACACCGCCACTCCTCGCTGCATGCGTGGGGGAAGAGTGGAACGAAGCCCTCTGCCTGTCCAGTTGGCCACGTGGCAGAGAGGGCGAGCGCACGCGTCGACAGAATTTGAATGTCGCACTCGCTCGCAGAGGAGGCGATGTGCATATAACAACTCCAGTGTACGAAAAAACGACCATTATCAGAAACGTCGCCTATTTTTTATATGTTTTTTTTTATTTCCCCTGTCGCTGTCATCCCGATACTTGTAGGTGTGCCTTCATATGTGCTCGTTACCGGCACTTGTCCCAAAATAATGTTAAGGCTGGCTATACTGTGGGTCTGTGGATACAAGTGGTAGGTGCTTGTTAACAGCACTTGTCCAAAAAGCTGTTTCGGGCATATGTTGTTATCACACTATTCTACGAACCCGGCGCCCCGGGTTCCCCGCTCACGGCCAATATAACAGCGGCGAGCATTTGAACAGGAACAGCCTTTCCCTGGCTCGACTCGGCTTTAAAATGAGTACCTGATGCGGTGTGTAAACAGCAGCAGTGATGAGACCAAGGCTGACCGCTTGTGGTGCTGGCCACCCACCCCCCTCGTGTTCCGTTGCCGGATTCAATGCGGTCGCTAACAGCACTCGTCCCAACGGCCTGTTGAGGCTATACTGGGGGGGGGCTTTGTCTTTGTATGACACAGGGATGATGGTCAGGGATGATGGTCAAGACTTGTGACGAAATGGCAGCCAGAGCAGTCGAGAAATCTCCCAATAGGATTTAAAATCCCACTTAAAACGGTTACCGGTTCTTGAATTTTGAATTGATCTGCCGCTTTACCGGTTTGTCGTTTAACAACTTTAAATGAAAAAGGACCATTCCCCGAAAGGTCGCCTAATTTTGTTTCCTGTTTCAAGGTCACATTGTGTTTTTGACGATTGTGTTTGGAGTGTGTTTTTTGTTGTTGCTGCTTATTGGAACTCGGGTGGCCGCGATATGGGGATCATACGATATGTCTCACGGCACGATCCACGATTATCGTACCGTCCATTTTTGCAAAATATCGTTCTAATAACATGATTATTCTTGCTCGTTTTATTTGAGTCGTTGTTTAATTACCAGACTGCAATATTGAGAAAACAAACTCAGCAATGAAAGTTGTAAATTAATAGCTGTTAACATTAGTGATTGGCAAAAAAAAACGAATTCGGAGCAATTAACAGGCAAGGCAATTGTATGACGTCATCCGTTTGTTAGTCTCATTTAAATAATTACTTTTATTTTTCTCCGGTGTAGCTGACAACGTTTACATTCCAGGTGCTCTGGATTGTAAAGCTACACTGATTTAAAAAAAGCAGCTCACAGCAGGCTTATGTTGAGTGAATTGCGGTAGAGCAATCTCAATTCGTACGAGAAGTACAGCAAGGCAAGCAGTCCAGAGCTGTCCGTAGGGGTCACGGCGAAACTGGCCGACTGCCCCGAGCCCCGCGCTTTGGGGGGGGGGTGGTCTGCGTTTTGACGTCACGGTGTCTGATGTAATGCATCCGGTTTAGTTTAAAGGCATTTGGGGCGGGGGGCTACACTGCGTGAGCTGCCTCGGGCCCTGCACCCCATCCCCATGGAGGGCCCTGAAACACGAAATATGACATACTGTACAATTACAACGTCATACGGTCAAATGACATGACGATAACCGTCGGTATATTTTTTTGCTTTACTTAGAGTTGATGCTTGGAAAGATTACGCAAATAACCGTAGACAACGTCGGAAGAATTGCTCCATGTGCTACTGTCGGGACAAATGATTGAGTGGCAGACGAGAGAAAACGGCGAGAGGATGTTATAATGCGGAGATGGAGCGATGAAATCGGGCAATGTTACAGGAGATCATGACAGCCGGGCACGGCTTAGCAATGCCTTCATCCCGCAGTGGATAAATCATGTTCCGATGATGCTGAGTGAAACCCCCGGGTGTGAGCTGGCTCCTGGGCGACAACTCACACGGGAAGCGAGAGAACGCTCAACCGTGGAACTGCGCCACCTCTCTAACCCACTGCCACGCAGGTGGATGTTTCATGTACGCAGTCCATCACCTACGACTATGAGTCCCAGGGTTATGAACGCCTCACCCGAGACTCAAACGTCGCACTTCCTGGCTTTGGCTTCCTCGAAGGCACCCGTGGTACATCAACAGCATCAGAACACCAGATACGCCACACAGTAGTGCGGTGACTATGGCCATGCAATCCAAGCCGCGGAGCAGATAGAGGAGCCGCGATTGCGAGATGTCAACTCCCTTGCCTGGTATGCAGGAGGTCGTGGTTTCGATCTCGACCCTGAGGCCTGTATATTTGGAGTTTGCGTGTCTCTCTCCCCGTAGTCGCGTGGATTTTTCTCCGGGTCCTCCGGTGTTTCCCTCCACGTTTATAATCAAGATGACGCGTTTCGAGCATTTGGCTGCGAAACATTTCTACGTGACAAGCCATTTCGTTGAGCTATGATTTGTGACCTAGTCGCTTCTGAAAAAGAGCTACGTAGCTCAGTTGGGCCTTACCCGGTCAAATACACAAATAGTTTCAGTTATATATTGTTTTAGTAAACCACTGGAGCCTGTGTTTTTAACGACGGAATAGCAAAACTACATGAACTCTCTCCCGGAGCCCTCTTGTGGCTAGCAGACGTCGACAGTGGCATTTATCTCCGGAGCAGATTGCCATTCGCAAGACTAGAATAGCTGCTTGGAAGGTGGTACTGCATGTACGAGTTTTCTCATGGTTGCCGCAAGATTGTTTTTGACGGTACAGTACAGCACTTGTCGCAGCTTACAGCAGCCTATCTCAACTCCACCAATCCGAACCTCCCAAGCTACAGCTTGTCCGAGATCACCAACTATCAGGTGCATGCAGTGTCCAGTGTCTTTAATTGCACATGACCACGTTATAAAGCAGACCTTACAAGAAAGAGTTAGCATCTCGCCCCAATGGCGAGATGATAACTACCTCGCCTGGTATACAGGAGGTAGTGGGTTCGATCCCAATCATGACGCCTGTTGTATATTTGGAGTTTGCACGTTCTCCCCGTGCTCGTGTGGACTTTTTCTCCGGGTACTCCGGTTTTCCCCTCCACATTTAGAAACATGCGTTTAGAGTATATGGCTGCTATACATGTCTACATGATAAGCCACTTCGTTGGGCTATCATTTGTGGCCAGGTCGCTTCTGATAAAGAGCTATATAGCTCAGTGGGCCTTGCCTAGTGAAATAAAAAAAAAAATACATAGTAAAAAGAAAATGGGTACTCGGAAGCTAATGAGGATCAATGCTGCTGAGTGCTTGGATGGGTGACTGCCAATCCATAGCAGGTGTTGTAGGCAAGGGGCTGGAGAGAGCAATGCAGCGATGGGCTTGTGGATTGAATCCATCCGTATAGAGCTTTGAACGTTATCCTGTCATCTGTGTGTGTCGGTGGGGGTCCCGTTACACTGCCCTCCTCGCATATGCCCAAATGCTTATAAATGTTTTTTTTTTCCCAAAAATAATCCTGAGACCTGGTAGATGGCCTGGGTAAATTATTGGCTTTTTTTACACTTAAATATATGATGGGGGTTACAAAGGCATTATATAAAAACATAAAAATACATTTTCAAAATGGTCCGGTTATCATGTTATACTCCAGTGCCATGGACATGGGCCATGGTCCATCTTTTTCATCTTTACCGTTTAAAAGATGTATTCGATTCACATTCATATATGTATGGTGCAGACTTGTGTAAAGTTAAAACATGGGACACGGCGCTCGGTATCATAGCCTGAAGGATAGAAACCACTTCTTCAAGTTTTATCTAAAATATTCAGCACATTTTAATATATTTAAATATGACTTTGAATCATTATAATATAGATCAAAATTACACTCTTTTTTGATTCATGCTCATGGTCGGAACTTTGCAAGTATAATTTCTGCACAGTGTTTGAATGTATTTCTATAGACCGGCTGTATATGTATACTGTATAATAAAATGCATTGGCAGGCCAAAAACAAAAAGGGGTCGCCAAGAGGTCGCAATGATATCGAGTTTATCGACAAGCTCAAATCAACATGGGCTCTCATCATAGACGCACGGTGGAAAATCGGTCCAAATCGAAGCCGTCTGCAAAAAAAGGCAGCTGCACCTTCCGAGTCGAAAGGCGAGGATTTCCCCATCCTACATTCAGATCTCAGTTTAGACCCATTCCCATTGACCCGTCCGTTTAGGATCAGTGGTGGAGCCTACACTCAACTCCAATCACAGAGA